AAAATTCCCTTATCCTCAATTGCCACTAAAAAAAAAAAAAAAAAAAAAAAAAGGAACTAGATCATGATCAGCACTAGGATTTAATTACCTTGCTTAAATGTTTAAAAACTAGCAATTTGGTGTTAATCAAACCAATCTTAAAGTAATCATTGGCAGACCCTAAGCTTTTTTGAACAACTGGACTTTTTAAAGTCAAAATTATGGCAGATAGTTTTAAAAATACTTAATGAACAAGGAAATAAAAAGAGAAACGCAATTACTAAAAATCTCAGAAGCAGAGTTATGTCCCTCCATCTTTCGTGTTCACTAGAAATGACTTGGTTCTGACTTAGCGTTCCTGCTCACAAATAAAGGGGAAGGCTGTGGGTGGTGGGACGGGTGGGTGCCGGAGGACACACTGTCGTCTATTAGTGGAATCAACTCTTTCAGTTGACAAAGACAACAACCAAATCTTTAGATGGTTTATTTGATCTGTGTGAAAGAGTGGCAGTGGGATTTCTGGCACTTGAATAAGCGGAAACAATATTTTTGGCTAGAGAGACTTCTCCTGAGTTCTCTCAGGGAGCCTTCTAGAAGGCCATCTGGACCAAACAGTATTTCTTTTGTAAAACCCTGCATTTGGAAGCACAAATGAAAGGTGTGTGTGCCACAATCAGATACCTATGAAAATAATTTGCTTTCAACGTTTGGGTGAGGGAGGATTCATTACTCTTTGTAAATTTTCTAGATGAAAAGACTTAAACATGAAGAAAAAAATACTTTTTTATTTCTTTTTTTATTAAGAGATAAGATCCCAATTTATATTCCAGTAAAAGATGTGCTTGTTAATGTATATTTATTAATTTGCACTTTTGTTCTCTCATGAGTGAAATTAGAATGCTTCAGTTATGTGTGATATTTACAGTTATGATGTCAGGTAGTGACTTTGTTTTTGACCTTTATAATTATTAATTGAACCTAGATTTTAAAGATGAATACTTCCCCCCTCCTTGGTCTTTAGTTAGCTTGTGAAGCTATAATGAATGAAAAATACTGAAAAAGTTAAACTAAATCCTTCCCAAACCAAATAATGCATTTACAGCAATGATATGAATCAAGTAGAGTGTTTGGAAAGCTGGAAATGAAGCAAAGCCATATTTGTAGCTAGACACGGCAGAAATACGAATGCTCCAGCAAAGTACCTTTAAACACCTATCACAGCTAACACATTTTGCTATTCCTTTACTTTTCTGTTAGAGTCTCCATTTGGAAAGAAATGGTAAATTCTTACATTAAGATTTCCTGTGATTAGTGATCATTTTTAAAAAGCAACTGACTGTTTTCGTTAGCTGTCATTTTTGCCTGAAGTGATGAATACAGAAAGAGAAAAAAATTAGCACTAAGTTCATCATATACATGTGAAAAAATACACAGTATCATACATACTTGAGTGTACCTATGTTATATAACTATGTATACTATCATATGTATTTATTTATATACAAATTATAGTTTCTATTGATATAAATTAATATTAAGTAGTTATTCGCTTGAGATGTTTACAATGATCCAATTTTCATACTATATAAAATTTTAACTTGATAAAGAACTGTTAAAAATCGTATTTCTTTAAAAGCACTACTAAATTCAGTTTTCAGTGGAGAATTTTCAATATTATTGGAATCACCATTACTATGAAAAATGACATCAAAAATGGAATTAACTTTTAAGAAAATCCTTTATAAATTTAAAATAAATCACATGGTGGTGATTTATCCAGGCTAAAGTATTATACCAAAGAATTTGAAGCTGAAATAATTAATGATACACAGATTATATCTCAAAATACATTTTTCTAAAAGGATGGAAGAAAGAGTCAGTTTGATTAATATCGTGGATGCAGACCTCACAAATAATGTCAGCTAAATTCAAAATATTGTAGCTTATGAGAATTAAAATAGGAGCACAGATTATATGGCAGGTTTAAACGTTTCCCAACAGATTTTAACAACAGAAGATAACTTTGAATCCCTAATGTCAGTCTATAGCCCTAATTCTTCTTAATGGGGACTGTTGTGCCAGGCACAATTCTTTAGCCTGAAAATATCTTTCAATTTCCCAAAACAAAGCAGCCACAAGTATCACTATCTGCCAAACAGTGATAGATTACATGAGCTGATAATTATGTTTTTAATTGTAAAGTGGTTTTCACCTGACATTACACTAAGGGGGTCAAACTTTATTTCCTTTGAACTTCTAATTAAAATAAAGCAAGCAAAAAAATTCTGTGATGCCAAAGACTGACCCTAATAATTTACCTGCTCATGACCTAAGTATTCCATGAATTTTGTTACTGAAAGAGGACAGGAAGAAAAGGTAGAACTTTTATTTTATAATAATAAAAAGTATTATTATTACTAAAGAAAATGCAAATGACCCAGTATTAAATGTGAACTTCAGCTGTATGCTTAGTCTTTTGGGCAGCATATAACTTAAGATGGGAGCACGAAGAAGGAGAGAAAAGCAAAGATAAATAATTTTGTCTCATTGGGTCATTTCTACTTAAAAGCATACTTGAATGAAATTTTCATCAGAGGGGGAAAAAAAGGTCTTTTAGGAATTTATGAGTGTCTCCCTAGGACACAAGCCATCAGTTTCCCCTCTTTGAGAGAGGCTTCTGTACTTTGGACAAAGTATCCGAGGGTTCATGTTTTCATCAGTGATTCACATTTGAAATAAAATAGATTAGATGTTTGTTGGAAGCAATACTTTATACACTGAGCAACCTATTTATATGAAATCTTTACAAACAGAACCCACATTATTTAAACCCCAAGATCCCCTCAAGACCCAGAGTCACCTACCTGCAGATCCAATTTTTGTGACCAGCCAGTTTATAGGCAAAGTGAAAGAAACATGCTAACTGGATAAAATAACCATATGTCCCTACTGGAAGCCCCATTACTTGAATCATTTCAACCTTGCTAGACAAAGCACCAGGAGAATTTGCTGTAGGAAATAAACCTCCACGAATGGGGCAGGGAAGAAATTACCTAATAGTTGGTGTCCCCTCTGCTCTAATTTCTACGGTTCTGTGTTAAGAAAAGCCATCCTGCCACACTGTTGTGAAAGCTTATGCCCCAACAAGAGGGTATTTCTTATTAAGAAGAAACAGTTCTGAATTTAACATTTAAGTTGCCATCATCAAAAGGCATGGACAACTTCGGGACAATTTTCCCCAAGAACAATACTTTCAAGATTCAATGGAAAAGGGTTGTTTTCCTCTTTCAAGAACTTAAGTGCCAGGAAAAGAGTGTGGTTTTGGTTTGACTTTTGTTTGCTGGCTCCTGAAATTTAGGATAACCTCTCTCATACCCCTAACTGCTTTCTTTGCATTGCAAGTGGCCTCCTTGAATGCCATCCAACGTGAAACCCAGTCTGGATGGTAAATGGAGGCAGTGCTAGCCCAGACTGGAGTTCTGCTCTGTCTGTCATTTCAATGGTCCACAAGGAAGCGTTTAGCACATGCATATCCACAGCTGGCATGAGGTACATAGCAGAGGTGCGGAGCAGTCAGTGCGTGTGTGCGTAGGCAAGGACACGAGAGAGGAGAGTACGTGGAGATCCTAGTGTATAGGAATGAAAGAGTCCACGTCTCTTCTCTCTGGGTAAATATCTCTGTTTATTCATGGGAGATCTTGACTTTGGGGTTAAGATAGAGAAATGGACATAAAATACAGGGTCAACTGAAAAGTATTTTTCTATCAAATGCATTATTTTTCTGATGGCCACTGCTGTTGTGAAATGTACGGATGCTATTTATAATGAAATTGGTATAAGTCCAAATTGGATGTTTCCAATGTAACATATTCTGCCTTTGGATATTAAGTGTGAATTGGTGCAAAAATGAGCCTGCCTGCATGTGAGTGTGAGCATGCATGCATGGGAGGGTTGAGGACAGCCCTTCATAGGGAATGACCCATTTAACATCGTTACACACTTTCGCCAGTCCTGGGATTTTCAGGTATTCTTACTACAAGGAACACTTTTCACATGGATGTCACAGGTTCACCAATGAAAATCAGGTTTTTTCTTCCTTTTTTTTTTGTGGCAGGGGGACATTTAGAACCTTAATAATTTTCCAATATTCTTTCTCTCCTAAGTAATTTCGCATTGTAGGTATCAAAATTTCACTCCTTACAGAAGTCACAAGGCTGAGTTTAGAGATTACCTTTAGGATGGATTTATAAATGCAACTTTCCCTCCTATCCTCTTAAAAAGAGGCAAACGGTATTATTGCAAATAACCTTTAAGATAATTAACTGACAATGCTGCAGCTAGCATAAAATCTTCCTTCAGGCGACACCTAATTTAAGTGTTACTGGCACAAAGTGGAGACAGATTGTGCATTACCACTGCAATATTTACATAGCAGAAACCCACAGAGCAGGAAACGCGAGGCTCAATGATGCACTAAATTAGGAACAACCGTACTCCAGTGTTAATTTGCTTTTCATTCTATCCAAATCTCAGGTCCAGAAATTGGTACAAACACGTATACAACCTCCCACTCTTAAATGACTAAACGGGGGGAGATTTTTGTACTCTCCCCCCCATATTAAAATAACTTGAAATTTATTTGTTTTCTCCACAAGAACCATTTGGTCAAACTGTGTTTATTTCATTACAACTTGCTCTCTCTTTGATCTAAAATTATTGTCATGTGTATGCTGCACCAAAGTATACAGAGAAAAACTAAACAGCCTTCTCCTATTTTCTCTAGGGCTGCCAATGTACTTTATGAAAAGAATAAAATGAGAGACGTGACAGTCAGTTAGTGAAATATCTAGAAACACGGGCAGGGCAAATCTACCTTCAGCAATTTTCTCCCTGATGAATGTTGTTCTCTCTCCCACCCCCTCAACAGTGAATTTTTAAAAACCATTCAAACAATTTTTTTTTTCATTCTTCCCCACAGTATTTTAAACATGCTTCACCCAAGGCATTAACAAAACATTTACCTTCCCTAATTGCTGATGTTCTTTAAAGGCAGCAATCAGCTCTTCAGCCCACTTAGTTTTTTCAGGGGAAGGAGAAAACTGCTCCTGGACCACCGCAATTTGGTTAGGATGGATCACTTGCTTACCTACAAGCAGATTAATAACACAAGAACCACAAAACAACAAACAGATGTTCAAACAAAATGTTTCCACCATGTGAGGTTCCTGAATGCCTCACAGACTGAATGTTAAATAACTAATTTAGAACTTTCTTAAAGGAAAAAACAAAACAAAACAAAACCTGCAATCAGGCAGGCTTTTCCAGAATACCACATAAGAACAAATAAAACAATGGAAGTAATTGTGTTTCCGATCCTTTAGAAATGCCACCTTAGTGCAGATAATCTCTCATTTTTAGTTACAGGTGGATTGACTAGGCAGCTCGCTGAATAACTGCTTTGGCTGGGATTTTAAGGATAATGTCTGCGAATTAGAGCAATTATTTTGAATTAAAGCAGAAAAAAATTAAATTAGAATTCTTTCAAATTTTATAAATTGTCTTTTTCTTATTTTGTAGGATTATGCCACCTTCCACAATTTCTTCTGGAAGTGGTCTGTTGGTTTTCATAAAGCTTACAGAAGTAGATGTTACGACCATATTAACATCAAATACTGTCTTACAATAATATATTTAATTTTCTTTCTTTTAGATGAATATAATGTATAATTTCTAACCCCTAAAAAATTGCATTTCAATGAAAATATTTTATTCAGTACTGTAAAGTAGAAGGCAAATTTGAACACTGTGGCCTCTAGATTACTCCATTAAAGTTTTTTTAAATAAAATAATTACGGAAAGTTTCTCTATTTAAAAACATATCCAGATTCTCCCTTTTGGCTTGCAGAATGAAGATTGGGTATTTCCCCCTTTATAGAAGAACCTTACACATCCAGAAGAAATCCTATCTCTGTAGAAATATCTTCCAAAAAGATTTATGATTATTTTTGAAGTTTGAGGATTTTAAATAAAAACATCATACAAAGATAAGAGTCACAGGACTCTGTGAAATCATGGTCATTAAAAAAACATTTAGCAATCAGGGAAGTTTGGAATCTAATCAGGTCATTAATAAAATGCAAATTAATTTAATGTTATAGTAATGATGAGATATTTTATTACATGATAAAGTTATGGACATATTTGTCTCTTTAAAAATGAATGTACCTTTAATGATCACTTACTCTGCTAAATATATTTGTTGGTCTATCAATTTGCTTTGCTTTTGAAATAATTGTTTTAACATTTAGCCAGTGCAAATTATGTCCTTGATATTTTATAAAATGTAAATTCCTGTTATTGTCATTACTCTGTTGTCAGAAAGAGGAGCAATGTTTGTAAAAAATTTTTTTAGTGTTTCATGAAAAGGTTCATATAAGTAAATATAACAGTATCTTTTCTTTACAATGGCATAATTAAAACATCTTCACATTGCTATTTCATTCATTTTTGTTAGCATATGAGTAAAACATTCAAAAGCTATATAAATAAAGATGCTTTAAATTATTTGAGGGATAATTTCTAGGAACAAATAACATGAATGATGACAAATGAGGGCTTTTTTCAGTAGCAGGTATTGAGATTATATAAGTAATCTAATACTTGTTACTATATTGTTAATAAAGTATGTCAGTTCTGGTAGTCATTTCCTACTAATTGTTACACCTGAATTTCATAATTTATGTACATAATTTACACTGATGTGTAAAAAGCCAGATTTCACGGGAACTTCTTGGTATAGGTACTATAATTTGAGGAGCAAACATAAAATACTTAAAATACTGTGCAGTTACTGATGGCTTTCAAGTACCTATCTTATGGCAATGAGGCTAATTTTAAGAAAGATATGTGTTAGGTTTTAGAAATTCCTGAATATTCATATGTAAAGTTCTCTTTTGTTGCATCTTATATATTTTAACAACTGTATAACAGATTTTAATACCATGTGGGAACGAAGCAAATATTTTATACAGAAGAGTTGTTATTGACAAGTTACTGAGAGGGTGCAAAATTGGAAGACATTAAAATTTATGACCATGAAATCCTTTTTACAGTACCACTTGATATATCATGCTTTAAATCAATACCTGTCAAGTCTTTTAGGTAACTGTATGATGGTGTCATTTTTGTCTTCTACAAAAGACTGCAAAAAAGAAGAAAACCTATAGTGCTTCATATTTATAATCTATCTTCTCAGCATGTAGTACTGGAGTAACTATAATGACTAAGTCAGCTGTTAAAGCTGTATTCCAAGATTTAGTTTTGGTTTCTTTTTATAAAAAAATTCCTAAAGTTAATGGCCATTTATACAGCCAAAGTATTGATTTAAAACCATGTTACATGGAGTATGACCCCATGAAACAATGGCTGCAGAAGAGAACCCATAGCACACTGTTTGGTGCATGGCTAACTTTTTAAAACTGCAACTCATTAAAAAACACATAATTTTAAAAGGTACAGAAAATTCTTATAGCAAAGACTCAGTCTTCCTTACCAGTGTTATGGATAGCACAGTACTTTCATTGGGTTTTAAACCTTCCAACCACCTAGTTCAGATAGGGTATGCATCTCTCCCTTCCTTCCCCCCCACTTCCTTCCTTCCCCCATTTCCCCCTCTCTTCCTTTCCTTCTTTCCTATTCTTTTCCTTCCTTTCCTCCCTTCTTACGTGAAGTCCAAGGTATAGCAATTAAATGCAAAACAATTAGGACAAACAGATCATGAGTGGTCTAAAATGCTCATTAAAAAAGCATTTATTTTTGTAAAATACTACAAATAATCTCATATCTTTATTATCAGATTAATTACCTTTTATTGGTATGTAGAAATATAACTGGGACAACAAAGACCTCCTCTCTAAAAATTGGAAAATGGCTATGAAGTGTGGCTTCCTAGTTTGCCGCCTCGATCACTTGAATATATAATGGGCTGTGTGCCCTCTGTGCCTCCCGTTCTCCTGCTTCCATTTTTTTTGTGATTTAATACTCCCTGTTGTGGAGAAACAATAGTACCAGGTTCATAAGCTCCTCGTGCTGAGTTGGGCACAGTCTAGACGTTTAAACCTGATTTGAAAGAGCTCGTCTTCCACAATTGAATTAGGGACCAATTTAATTCAGTCCTGTATCTTGGAGGAACTCTCAAGCTCCCTTAGAAATTCTGGAGCAAACATTTACCCCAGAGGGGGCCAAGGAGACCCAGGTTATCCTGAGTGATGGTGACAGAGGCCAGTGTCAATTTGGTGCTTTCTACTTTTTATTGAATTAGTTCCCATTTCAGAGCAACCTCTGGCTGCCTGGCAGCCAGTGCCACACATTTTAGGCCAACAACATCAGGGTCTATTAGATAGATTTCATGGAGTTTTTCTCCAACTTTTCCATTTGGGCCACATCCTAACCAGTCATTGGAAAGAGGCAGGGACAAGCACAACCATGTGGATGTGGCAAAGGGACTCCTTTCTTTCTCAAATCACTCTTAAATATAGGGAAGATTCCTTTATTAATAGCTCAGATAATTGAAAAACATTTCTCTATAAGGGATCACACTTATTTATTTTTAAAATTGAGGAGAATCATCTTTATTTTAGCTCTTTATGTTAAAAACACAAAAACAAGTGTCAGAGCTTTATTTAATTCTAATATAACATTAAAATTGCTTCTTAAGTCTTTCAATTTTATTTTGAGTTAAATCATCATCCATTAAGATGTCTTTTACCAAATTTAAGGTGACTTTATGAAACATTTCTTTCAGTAACCTCTAACTAGATACATTTTGAACACGTTTTAAAAACGAATGTCAGGATGCTTGTCTCTTTTCTGTATTATTTGGGTACATTTGTCATATTAATATTTTTAGGACTTTCAATGCAAGACAAATAGGAATCAAAGAGCTCAATGGTGATTGTTTCCATGATTGCCAGCGTGTGTGTGTGTGTGTGTGTGTGTGTGTGTGTGTGTGTGTAACTGCACACATGTGTTTATGTATAGAACCCTACTGTGGTTTTAAAAAAATAGATTTCTGTTGCAAGAACACAATTTTCGGTTGCTCCCCTGGCTCATGGGGATCTAAGCGGTCGGGCATTACCAATCGGAAGATACTGCCTGTGCCCCAGACTGGAGTGTAAGGGACCTGCTGATCTTAGTGCCAGCCAACACCCGTAGGTGTCACCAGGTTCACAGACACTTACTGGGAGGTGGGAGAGAAAAAAGGGGCTTGAAGTGGCAGAAAAACAAAAAATTAGTTTTGAGTGAAAAAACAAATTAAAGAAAATATCGCCAAAATTTTTTTAGAAATGACTTAATATTTTGAATATTTTAGGAAATTTTTCTTCTACCTGTCAACCCAAATTCTTATGGCAATTCACTCAAAACACTTCTGTAACAACCTCATCCCCTCCCCTTAGGTCATCCAAAACTGCAATCAACACAATACTTAAGAGGACAGAAAAAAAACCTATAACTGATATAAAGAGAAACTAAAATGAGTGAGTTGTTTTTTGACTTGCAGAGCCAGTGAAAAACATGACAATTTGTTTGGCAGGTTGTTGCCCTGCATGGCTTTTTCATGTTTCAAATAGTGGAATAAGTATATGAGATATCTGATGGCATTAGAAACAGTAATTTCTGGTTAAAGTTCTATTCTTCTGGAATGTTTGCTAATGTAGACACTGATTTCTAAGATATCAAGAATCATACCAGTGAAGCCCATTGCGACTCCTTCTCTCGACTGTCGGAGAAGCCCGTCTACATCCCGAAAGTCAATGTACACCAGATCTATGGCTTGTAGACCAAAGGCCTTTGCGACGACAATAATCTTTTGTCGGGCATAGAGAATATCCTGGGTTTCTTTACTACTTGTTGCACCTGAAAATAGGATGTTGACAGAAAAAGGAGGCTTTAACTTTGGAAACTGAACCCAGATATTTATTATAAAAACTCAGTTTGTAGAGACATCTATGTCTCCCTGGGAATTGCTTCCAGCAAAACAGTTATTCAAATATAAATGAAGAGAGGGATACGTGGAGGCAAAGGTAAGTCTCATCATATGTGTCTATTGAACTGGCCGGGCATCTTGCAATATAATTACTTCCACATGCATTAAGAAAAGGCCCCTCCCCTTCAGGAGGTAGAGTCAGGGTCACAAGTACTCCCGATATATTTTTGCCTCTTGTCACTGCTATGGAAGTGTCAATCCAAAGACAGCACCAAAAAGGTGGCCCAGCAGCTGTGCAGGGAAATGGTTAACCTCTCCCACCGAGCACAGAGTTGCAGTGTTGTGGTGGCACTGCCCTGTCCTAACAGAGGTGCCGAGCCAAGTACTCTAAGCTTCAGCATCTGGAGGGAGAACTTGGGGGAATGCAAGGACACATGTTGAGAGAGGCAGAAAGTGTCACTATGCCTTCTGTAGCCCACTGAACTGTCAGATACTCAAAAGTCTCCTGGAAAGACTGATATTAAAATAAATTTCTGTTTTTCACCCTGCAGGCAGATGGGTGTCACTGTTTATATTTGAACCATGACACTCACTGCTCAAGGAAAGTGCCTGTCTTCAGGTCCCTAGGACTGTGCTTCTGAAAATGCATTCTGTGGCCTTGGCCTCTTTTCTGGATGTCCTCACAGTCTCTAGTTGCACAAACACCCAGACCAGAAGCACAGTGCTCGAGGGACGGTGGAAATCAGTGAAAACCAGCATGGTGTCTCAGTAAATAGTTAATAATCAGAGTGCTGAAATATATTTTAAGAGAAATTTAAGGCCTATTTAAAATAACATTTACATACTACATGTAATGTAGAAAATAAGCCATTAATGCAAATGTGAAATTGCCTTAAATTTGTGTTACAAGCCTAGACAGCCCTCAGACTGATGTGAAAACAAAATACTTAAGCAACAACGAGGTTGTTCACATAATATATTTATTAGGAGTAAAGTAGATGCTGTATACTCCTGAACACGCCTGGGGCTGCAACAGACTTTTTATTAGTTATTTTATAAACGAACAGAAGAAATAATGTAGTGTTCTGAAAGAGGACGGCTACGAGGCGTTCTAAATTACCAGGAAGTATTGTCTATTCTGTTGTCATGAAGAACCATTGTCATGGTTGGCAAATATACATTGTCATGTAAATGTCCAGTCCCGAGGGGCAAAGTAAAAATATACACAGACATGCACAGAAAGAGAGAGAGAAAGAAGGAGAGAGATAAAGGTCTTTGATACCTATGCTGGCTCGAAAGTCTTCTCCTCCAAAAACAACCGCATCTAGAGATAGACCTACTCGAGGCCCGATCTTTAGTGTTTCTTCACACACTGCCTGTAAAAGAGCAGAACAGAACCAAGTCTTACAGAAACACATGCACTGAAGAGAAGCGTGGTGCATTTCCGTAACAGAACACTACTGTAACGCAGTACAGTTTGGCTGAAAGCCGTCCTAAACATGTAGCCCAAATTTCCCCCTTTAGATAGGTATTAAATATTGTCTACGATAATGATACTGTTTGTATTTGCTTCACCTAACGGATTCTATGAATACAATTATTACCACATATCAATATAGTTACAATGTTCAAATCATAGTGCATCCAATTTGTAGAGAAACTTTTGAGTTAACTCATTTTGATTGTACTGTAAGTTATTTATATTTTTCTAAAATTTGTTTTTGCTTTAAGAGGCTCTCAAACAATAAACATAAAACCATAGGACAGGAGGAAGGAATTTTTAAATCAAACTAATTGGATTATTTGCCTTAGGATCAAGTAAATGGTCTCAGGATTAAAGACATATAATACAAAAAGCTACAAGTCCAGAGGGGAAAATAAAAATGCAACAAGTCACCCAAGATGTGTTAATAAAGCACCTTCGACATTTATATACTGAAGTCGAGATTAATAACATTCCTCATAGCATAACTGTGAATCTCGGAAGGTGGAGAGACGTTATATGTGGGTGGGAAAGAAATGAGGGACCGGTGGGGACACTGTTGATTAATTTCAGGCGTTGTAAGTGCTTCTAAGTAAGTTATGGAATAAAATGGTGAAACGGTGCTTAAAATTAAATCACTGTATGAATCTGGTTGCATCTAAGGGATGTGCTTTTGATTATATTCTGAGGATTCTAGGCGGGCTGGGAGAATTTGTGGCTAGGTGAGTACACAAGCTGATCACGAGGCGAGGCTTGCAGCCGCTCCCCAAACGCTTGCACCCGGCCCCTCCTGCAGGCTCCCAGAGGTCTCCAAGTTTCCTCTCCGAGCATTTGCTCACACATTCTCTCTCCAAGCACAGTTCAACTACCTTTTTTTGTTGTTTTTAGTGATTCCTTTTCTCCTGCCTCTGAAAATAAAAAGGTAGGCTAGAGATTCTGAGAAGGGGGTGGTAGATTGATGTTCACAGGTCAGGTGGAATGAGAGGCATATTTTGGAAAACAATATAAATACCCCCTGATAAAGAGGGAAAAAACAAACTAGCTATGAATTTGTTAAGGCAGGTACTTTAAGCAACCACTCAACAGCTGAAAATACTTCAGCTAATCTTCCTGAATGTATATTAAAAATGTTTTATGTTCTAATGTGGCAAATTGAAATAATGTACTCCAAATTATTTGTGTACATGAACTTACAAACAATAATGTTATCCGACAGACATTATGGATAATGTTGCTACAAAGAGGCCAGGAAATTTCCCAGTGGAAAGGCAATTGACAGAAAAGAAGAATTCAAAGTTAATTTATAAAGGTGACAAAATAAATTTTTCATGTGCATTTAATCTGTAAATGTAATAATTCAAAGCACATATTTACACAGTGATTATTTAATTAAAATTACTGCTAGGAAAATATTAATATTTTATTTAAATATCTAGGACTGGGAAGCTTTTCCTTTCTACTTAATGTTTTTGTTTTCTAAGTTGCTGACAATCTGGTTTTTGGACTATTACAGATGACAAATGGTACTCAAGTTTCCCTTTGCTTATAAATCTTTTTAGAAAAATATTTTAAGTAGATGTTAAATTGAAAACAAAAATTCTCTTTAGGTTATAAGTAAAATATCAACTTACTAACCACATTATAGTTTTCTTACCTTAAAATTGAGCAAACCCATTGCAGTTTCCACAAAAGGGATTAAATTCATTGGTTGTTCAAGTTTTCGGCCTTTTAAGTGGGATGAAAATTTGTCTGAAAACTAAAATCAAAAGTGTCATAGGTGACTATTGGGGGAAAAAATGTACAATCACTGAAATGTAGACACAGAAGTAGTATTTAAGTCTTTGACTTGAGGAAGTAATATACTAGCCTCTTTCATCCACACAAAAGAATTACCAAAAAAAAAAAAAAAAAGAAAGAAAGAAAAAAAGAAGAAAGACCAAAGAAAAAAGGTAACAAAGTTCCCACCCCACTAAATAGTAAAACCCAAGCATTACAGGTTTTGTTTTTTCCCCAAAGGAGCAACTTGAGGCCTAGGAGTTAGAACGGGAAGGAGAAATTCTCGAGTTTAAATGCTTTCCCTGAAAACATATTTACTTAAGACTTCTCGCCCTTAAATGCAAATGGTAGACCCTCAAAACAACGAAGCCCCGCTCTACCTGCCATTCTGTTTTTGTTTCGGACCTAGCACTGACATCAGAGTGACCGTTCAGCAGCCTTCTCTGTGGAATCCACATTATTCATTACAGCACCCTTACCCTTTGTTCAGAAGGGTTTGCTTCATAATTTTTTAGCTTACCTAGGAAGACCTTAAAAAAGAAGTTTAATTCTTTGAAGACCAAAGCTCGCCAATTTTTTCCATGAGACCAGTTCACAGCTAGCTCTGTGCTGCCAGTGGGGTAGCCCAAATTCCAAAATCTATCATCTGGAAACATACAAAAGCTTTTGCACAGATTCCTCCCCCCCCCTTTCAAAAGGGGGAAAAACACACTCTAAATTGTAAATCTATTATGTCTATCTAGATCTAATAAGATGTGGGAAGATAAAAAAGAAACACAGGTATGATAAAGATATTTTTGTAAATAAAGATGAAAACATATATATCCATTTTAAATTTAAGGAATATTCAGACATTAATAGATATCAAAGGAAAAGAGAATTTTAATCATCTCTCCATTCAGTCTCAGTTGGGTAAATCATATCTAAGAGATTTGCATAAATATAAACCATCAAAGACTTTTCATCTTCAAAGGGGGTTTCAAGACCCTATAAGCTTTGTACTGTAATCATCACAGGTCACCACCCTGCAGGAATAAGGCTGCTATGGCAACATAAAAAAACTAATGCTTAAGGCTTAGCATAATATTCTGACTAATAGAAAGGAAACTCATTTTAAAAGCTGGCAGCCTATTTACCAGAAGCAGGATTAGAGGTGTTATTTCCCCTTTTAGCTGCCCCCTCCTTGCCTGTGCACCCCCCTCCCCTAAAAAAATCTAATCACTGAGATCTTTAAAAAGCTTTTGAGCAATTTGCAGTAACTTTACAATTAGGCGAAAATAAATCACAGCTTTCAGTAATGAAGAATTATTCCCAGTTGCTCCCCCTGCCCCTCCCTTCAGACAGCATCATCATCACCTCCTTAGAACTTTTCCGGGGAAGGAATAACTCAACCGAAATAGCAAGAAGGAAGAGAAAGCTGCAATTTGAAGGGACAACACGCATGGTACTTGATGTGAATGAAAATAAAACATAATTCATGTCACATTCAAGCTAGAAAGTGGATAGCGACATATTAGTAGTTTTGGTGTTAAATATATAGTAGGGGATTTTTTTTTTTTTCTCATTAAGTAAAGAAAACTTGCAAGGATACTTGCCCCATTCTTTGAGATAATAGTTATAACTACAAAAATCATAAAATGTAAAACTAGGTAAATACTTTACAATATAGTCCCAGTTTTTAGTGAGAAAAATCTCTAATGCCTTTTGTTTTTAAATCAAATAGGGGCACTTAAAAATTAAATATTCTAGCCCTTCCTCCTTCTCCTTCTCCCCCTCTTTCTTAAAAAATTGCATTACGTACTAACACAAAAGGTAACTAGTGGAGAAGTTTCAATTAATTTTTTCAAAAGGAGACGATTAAATGTTTCCGGCCTGGTAAAGTGTTCATTTCAGCGAGGTGGAGGGGACTGGGCGGGGGGAGGAAAAAAGGGGGGAACATCACAAAGAGATCGGGGAGGAGATGAAGTAGCAGGGCTCAGCAATTCTTTCAATTCCAGCGCACACCCAATAGTGTGTTGGAAGAATGCACACTGTTCGGGATTTGTGGGAGAATTGTCCCGCGACAAAGGAGGCAGAGTTACGCTTGTTATAGTCCAATAAGCCGTGCCAGTCAAACAAGAACCCACACTAGCGACAAAGGACGAGCAAGAGATTCTCACACAAAAGGAAACAAGTAAGCCCATCTTTCAGTTGTGCATCAGGCTCCGGGTTTTATGCTTCACATAAATACAAACGAAGAGGAAAAAATAAACAGCCCAAAGACTTCTGCTAACTAGAAGTCCTATTTAAATTTCAGTATGTTGCTCACATCCAAGGATTTAAAACAGTGAACAGAAGCTGAAGGCTGGGGTGGGTTCCCCCCCCACCCTTAAATTAAGGGTAAGAATGGTGATAAATAGGCATTAACTATGAAACCAAAAGGGAACAGTGACTCCAGAGTCCATTTCAATCAACTCGAGACATATTTGAATGGGGTTGGGCCCTCAAGTCTGTTAACATGCTCCCACCAGTATCTCCCAGCTTCTAAGGGTGACCTTGGAGAAGAGAACTCCAGGTCAGTAAGTAAATACTGGTCCTTGAATACGGGACTTCAGAATGAACCCAACACAGAGCTGTCCAATAGAACTATAATGGCAGCTACATATACAATTTTAAATTTTCTAGTGGCTACATTAAGAGTAAAATGAAACAGGTAAATTTAATTTTAATAATATATTGTATTCAACCCAATACATCCAAAATATTATCTCAGTTGTAATCCATATAAATTTTTGAGATATTTTACATTCTTTTTTTCCCCTCAAGGGGTACCGAGTCTTCAAAATCAGATGTGCATTTTACACTTACAGCACATCTCAATTTGTACTGGCCACATTTCAAGTGCTCGGTAGCCACATGTGGCAGGTGGCCACCGCACTGGGCAGCATAGATCCAACATACCTAGGTGCATTTTAAAGGTGAGCAGTTTTGCCAGGTATGACAGCTACTCAGCATATTGCTGTGGATGCATCCACAGCCTTCGAGATGATACTAGATGTGGTTTCTACACCGTCGCTGTCCCTCACCCTGCCAGACTCTTCCAGCGCTCATGCCTCACAGGCTCTCTCTGGCCCAGAGTGGCATAATGAAATGTTTTATTCAACAGAGAGCTGTAGAATAATAGCAACCCCCAAATAAAATCTAACCACCCCCACTTTCACAATTAAAACAATCATAGTATAATTAGGACCATTTCAAAAGTTTTCTTAAGTAATTTGACATGCCAACCACTTTACATTTCAGGATTTTATTGGCTGAAAAGTCTGTCATGAAACACAAACACACCTGTCAGCAATTTAAAAAGGACGCACCAGAGAACTGTTCAGGAAATAATATCTGTGCTAATTAAAACCACTAGTTAAAAGCTTCCTGTCTATTCCTCTAGTTGCCCTAAGGAGTGACCTTTCGCTCCCCTTCTTGGGGTTCATTTTTTCATATGCGGCTAATGTGCTCGCACTGCCCATGATGATTTCAAATGAGTCCCAGAGAGAACCACGGACGTCAAGGCTCTTCCAGGTGGACGCCTTGGCATAGGGCCTGGCAGGGTGGAAGAAGGGATGGAATTCTCATGCAAGCTAGTTTCCAGGGATTACTCTGGGAGGGCTATTGAGGCGGCTGTTCTGTCCAAACCACAAATCTGATTAGGAAGCAGAAGCATCGTTTCAAAAGTAGAGTTGCTCCCTAGAACACTTTGGGCAGAGCCAGGTTCTCCTTGTGTGAAGAAATGGTTTCTCATGCTCACTCCTTTTTCTCAGCGACCTTCCTCTCTGCTCTGTGTATGCATTTTCAGAACCTAGGGCACCCAGATCCATTCTTTCCTAGCCGGTCCTGAGTCTTAAAGCAAAGCACTATCTACTCACCCACTGGATTTCTTCAGGACTCTCCACCTTTGGTAGCATCAGGCTGGAAGGAAGGACCCGGGACTGCAGAAGGGTCTCCAGGTCTTCTTCGGCCAGACCACTGGACACTGAGTTGACTCTCACACACTTTTCAGTTGGGCCCAGATCAAAGCCTTCAAGAGTTTTTACTATTCTCAGTCGAGCTTCATTCTATAAGTGGCAATAAAATTTATCTCCTAAGTTTATTTTTATCATCAAGGGGAACACAATCAAATGGTCTATGAAACTGTTATGTGGATTCAGACCATTATTCTATCTACAAATTTCCTGTCCACCAAATAAATATTTGAAATAAGTCATCCAGTCTGATAGGTAGTGAGTGATTGATTCCTAGACTTCATTCAAGATGGCTAAAACACAGCTGAGATCTGCCATGATGCATACTGGCATACTTCTAAATCGTGTGTCATCTTGCTCATTAGCATTGCTTTCCAGTTGGAAAGGTAAAATTATTAATAGAGAATTACTCATTGATTGAGCACAATTAGGTGCTAAGCATGGTTCTAAGTCCTTCATCTGCATTTTCTCATTAAATAATATAAGAAACTGGATAGCATGGCAGTCTCATCCACATTAGGGAAAAAATAAGGATTTGATTTTCTTCTGTTTGTTTCCACATGCATCATGCTTTTTTATTCACTTCTTTATTTTACTTTATTTTTTGCAACTGAGTTGAATCTTGACATTCAATTAAAAAGGTGCTCACAGGAATCTGACACTCCATACTACAAAAAGAGCTCCCGATTACTGAGGTGGAAGACAGTACAGCACCAAGAAATTCCTTCATGAAGTGGTTGACAAATACATTTTTTTTCTTTGATTTGACAGTCTTTGCTCCACAGTTAAGAAAAGCTGAAAGGCTGAAAGTCTGCATCAGTATTTGAACTATCCCCCGCAAAATTGTATGAAGCCAAATATGTAATGTATTGGCTTTGGGGTGGGGTTGATGAAGGTGGGGTGGGGGAAGAGACAGAAGTGCACTGAAGGGGCGGGGGTTGGAGTCAAGAGAAAGAAAGCACTTGGGGTCATGACTCCCTGCCAATTTCAGTTTCAAAAACAAATTCCTCCAACTTGCAAACAGCCCTCAACAATTTCTCATTGTCAGAATGAACACTTATCAAAAGTAGTTTCATTTGGGAAGGGTTTTTATGATAATAATAAAACTTTAAAGCTTCTCACTGCTGATGAATGTGGTTAAAAAAAGTTTTAACAATATATAGCCATTTGAATAGCGATACTTACCTAGGAAAATAGCAAACCAAAGCAAAGACAAAAAAGACTTATTTAAGCCAATATTGAGTCTAAGACCAATCAACAAGACAACCCAGGACAGTAGATTTAAACCAGACGGATTTAGGTCCTCGACCGAGTGGCAGCAAGGACATCTCCCAGATGTGGTCTGAGTTAAACAGTGTTGAGGAAACCGTAGCTTAGGGTTGTCACATCAGATGGAAACAGTACCTGAGAACACCTTAGAACAGTTCTGTGGAGTCCTGATTTACAAAGCTTCAAGTGCCTGTAATTAGGCCAAGCTTAGACACAAGCAAGAGAGTGCTTACACCAGCTAAAGTCAGAGATGATGCAGCCACCAATGGCTTGTTCCCACATCAGGCCTTTGGATATTCCACAGCTATAAAACTCACCACTTGCTCTACCATGTGCTCTCATTACAGCCATTAAATATAACCATCCCGAAGGTGAAGGGCAGAAGTGAGCTCAATATCAGGGTTCGAAGGCTAGAGCTGCTAGGAGAAATGCTTCCAGCTCTTTGGCAGTGCATGTATTTAGATCAACAGCTTCGGAGAACCTAAAACTTATTATGCTCTGTGTAGCCCATACATAGCTACAAACTTGGGATAGCTCCAGCTTGTAAACTTGTCCACTTCCAGGTTCTCTTTCATCAGCAAGGCAGCCTTGCGGAGGGTCTACTGGGACAGAGTGAATGCAAAATTGAAGGGAACTCACTAGATTATTTAGGCTGAAATGCATTTTAAAACTTGAATTATTTGAATCATCGTCTCTGTCCTCTACTTTAATCTGCATGTGTGCTCAATGACAAAGGATCCCTGGCAACATCACCTTCCAAAATTGTTAATGTTGGTGTTAAACAAAATGTGACCCCTAAGCTATTTTGTTGTTTCTCTTGGATTTGAAGGGGACTGTTTGTTCAAAGCTCATGTTCTAAACCTGTTTGTGATTTTTATCTAAAGTCAGATTGCCATGGTTTCAGCACATTCCTGTTTACTTAGTAAAATTCAGCCCTTGTGAAATTGGCTGCAAATGAAATACCTGATTCCAATTTTCGGCATAATCTGATTAGTACTTTTCATGTTCTAATAATGAGCAGTGAATACTCAGCATTTTATTAGATTTTTTTTTTTTTTTGGCTCAGAATTAAAACCAAGCTCTTTCCACTTCATCATTCTGTACCTTTCCAAAAAAGAGATGATGATTTTGAGGTATATTGCCACACAACACCCTTATTAACAGGCTGTTGTTTGTTACAATTTACATAAACTAAATGTGCATCCCTCTGGTATGTATCCCAAAATATCCGACAACTTCGCTGAATTTATACCAACCGACAAGCATGTTGACTTTTTTTTTTTCTTTTTGGTATTTTAATGGTGAAATATGTTACTGTGCTAGCAAACACACCCATACCATCTGTTGGATTGAGAGGAAGGCAGTTTCTAAGAACAATTAGGATTTGACCTGGGTGTTCAGTTAAAGAGAGTCACAGTCTATCCAGTTGTAAAAAGAAAAAAATTCTGTTCATTCTGCTCTCCTTCAACACACACGTCACTTCTTGCTGCCATCTCTCTCTGTCTCTCATTTCCATCGCCTCGTCTCCTTCACACTTTCTTTCTCTTCCTCTCTTTTTTCTTTGGCTGCTGGTTGTCCATGACCGTTCTCTGATCTCCATCTCGGTAGGTGGATTTGTAAGAGGCCACCTGGCAGACACCATCTTCTCAGAGGGTTCGCAGGGAGATCTGCTGAGATTATTGGGAGGTAAGATCTCCGTGGAGACAGAGGGACAAGGAAATGAAAGTAAAAGAGGCCACTTAGAAAAGAGCTTCTGGGGGGATCTTACATCCTGGAAGCAACACAGGTTGTTCAAAACAAGGTTTAAGAGGGACTGCATTCTAAATGTGTTAACACTACAAGGACAGTCTGGGCCATTCATTTTCACTGTGGAATGAACTTGTCCCCCTAAGATCTGACAAGCTGGAAAAGACTGGATAATGGAATTAAGGCCTTTATCAACAGTTACATTAGATCTTTGAAGAGACTAATTACCACAGTGTGTTCCATATCATGTTTGATTCCAGAGGTAGACTCTGCAGAGGTCACAGAGAAAGTTGGTACAGATTAGAATCTTTGCAGGCCCCTTTCTAAAAAACGGTGTTCCCAAAGTTCCCGCATTCAATCGATATTTCGTGCCATGGGCTGCTCAGTGCACTGGACCAGCAGCTAATAAACTTGTCCTTATCCATAAGCCACTGTATTATGTGACTCTGTCTGGGCCAGGAACCAAGGCGTGCTATGATTTCAGAGACTGGATTCCTATCACCTGGGGAAGAGACACGCTCTGGTGACGTAAGAAAGCGGATAAATCAACCATCACCAAGACCTGCAGACTCCGAAATTAAAGGAGAAAATATGCGTGCAGTTGGTTCAACTGGCACCCATTAAAGCTAATAACTAATCATCTTCGCAAGTTTCTAGCTCAGAATGATCAAATCTGCAAAGAAAACAACATCCGTCCACTTTTACACTCCAGTGGAAGAGGTGGTCCCTCGCGGCGGGGTGGCACAGTCTCGCCATCTGGAGAATAAATCGAGTGTGAAGTACAGTATAGTTTGGGACCAAGCTCCGTGGCGGCAGCTCAGCAGTCAGTTCATTAGTTCCAAACTTGCAGGGATTAGAGCGGCATCAATTCTACTGTCGGATAGGATGAGACAGACAGGATACGAGATTCAAGGAGGATTGTGACAACCCAGAGGAGCCCCTTGGGCTTATTTATAAAACTACAAAGTATAAACATACCCAAATAAGTGCCTTAAATAATAGCATTATCACAGTTTCATAACATCTGAATTAACACCTTTCCCTTCGCTTTCCACCCCCCACTCAAACCTTGAATGTTAATGTATCGTTGTTTTCAAAGGAAATCCAGAGCCAAACCTGATGCAACAGGAGAAAGGAGAAAGCTCTGCGGCCGAGCGGAGACTTGGTCATTAAGAAATAGGAGAGACTCCAAGGAGAGGCACAACATTTGTGATTTTTTTAAAAAAAGGAACAATTAATATTTTCATCCTACAAAAGGCAAATTGCCATGCCACATATTCAAGAACGCTAGTAAATTCTGTCTTTTCTGCATCTGTCTATTTCATCTCATTTCCATTTTATCTAATTCACAAAGTTATGTCACAGGCATGGAGTGGGTCCAAATGTCGAGCAAAACGTCCTGAGATCAGCATCTCTATGAAAGTCTTTTTGAAAATTTCAAGATCAAGTTTGGCTTAAAATTAAACACTCTGAGTGAATTGTTCCATTTAAGGGTCTCCTTTCTCATATGACTTCTTTTTATACATTTATATTCAAAAACAGAAGTGCTTGTGACATAAAACAGGTCAGCACTAGTAAATTATATTGGATTTTTCTTATAAATGTATAAAAATTCATTATAATAATGATCACAGAGACTGTTGTAGTGACTGCATTGAAAAAAAGGCAAATGAATTCTCACTGATTATTACAATCTGGTGGTGTGTTTCATTAGGCAAGGTGGTACTGTTGAGTTTTCTATCCCACTGGTTTTCCACATGAAAAAAAAAAAAACAACTTGGTTTGCTTATTTCTGAAAAAAGAAAATCTACAACAACATTGAACATCCCGTGTGTTAACTGGTTAAAATTTCATATATTGATTCATCCCACAGAGTCTCACATGCCAGGCACCCTGTTACTCTGAAAACACAGATTTTGGTAGATCAAAGTTTTTGATGTGTTAATAATGAAAGATACATTAAAACAAAGGTTTATAGTAAAATTCTAAATCGGCTTTCATTCAAAGGACTAAGAAGGGTCAGGATGTGTACAGATGGGTTGCTTACAATATGTGTAGTTGGCATTTCTGCCCTTCAG